GAGAGCTTTACCGCGCAAATCTGACTCGGCGCGTTACATACATGTTACGCGCCGAGTTACCGATTAATACGCAACTCTAACAAAAGTGATTGATTGGCTGGATTCGACTTGGTTAAATCCAGGTTAAATCCTTTAAAAAGGAAGCGGGATAATTGAAATGAAACAATATTAAATTCCGTATAACGGAAGGGAAACCCGTTCGAAAGAAGATAATTTATTTGTCTCCTTTCGAAGGTAAAACCCTTTAAGTTTATTGAAGTACTTTGTTCAATCAAGCTGGCTAAGGAACTTGGACGACAAGAACCTTTCTAGTCAAGCGCAAGATTGGAACTCTACAAGTTTGTTGTCAGACGAGACGGAGATGCTCTCCGTCTTGTGTCCATTTTAGTCCGAATGCGCATGCTCGCTATGACGCGCACTCTTATTGGTTATGTATTCAACATCGAGACACTAACACTTTTAAGGCACGACACTGTGAATTCTATATACACATAAAAGAGTATCTCTTATACACGAAGTAGTATAAGGACACCTCACGCGGGTTTAAAATCAGTCTGCATTTGGGAGATCAGAGTTATGAGAGTTCTCAAAACGTTCAGAGGTTGCGCTTCTGTGGTTAAATTTGGTATTAAAATATCGTCTGCTTAAAACTTATTCTGTACTTTACATTTTCTCCGCATGAGCGCGCTGCCTCTGAACGTTGTGCAGATTATATTTTCTCATAGTAACTCTGATCCCCCAAAATGATGCTGATTTTTGCCACTATAACTATTGGGGTTGGGTCTCCTTATACTACTTCATGGTATATGCAATAATGGTTTGTTGACATAACCTACATTTAAATCTATTGTTAAAGGACTTTAAAAATGTCTACCGAAACATTAAAAAAAAAAGGAATGAAATTGTACTGGCCTCCAGTACAATTTCATTCCTTTTTTTTTTAATTTTTTTTCCATTCTTCCGGCAGGGTAGTTCTTGGGACAGGAATAAATGCAAAATTTATTAATTTATAATGGTCAATTTTTGAGATAACGAACGACCTACGTTTCACTTTATATTTATTTATTGTAGATAATAATATCCAAATTTATTTTTCATACGCGAAACATAGTCACTGTCAATGATCGGATGGCATCGGCTCATTTACGGAGATTGACGAAGTTAGCAACCAATAGAAATGCAGGCGCCATATGACTGCACTCGCTAGCCACACTTGCTCACCAAAAATTACTACAGTGGATAGTAGGTTTTAGTGGAAAATGTTTTCATTTGTCAGATTTTGTCTAATTAAATTAGAGAAAACTATATTCAATTTTTGCTACATTTACAACTCTTACACAAAATATTAAAACTTGCTATTTCAATGTAGCAAATTTATCTATTTCTTTTGTAAATTTATCTAATTCTGTAGTATATTATGCTAAAAGTCCCCTTATTTCCGGTCATTGCAACCATTTTTAGTAATTTTTACAAATGTGGGTCTCTCCGTGTATGAATGTCAAAAAATCAAATTTAAAAAAAAATAAAGTCTTTCAAAAAATATTTAATGTATTGAAATTTTATGCAATATATGTATCACTGAAAAAAAAGTGTTGTTGAATCAAATATCTCCATGCTATTGAATTCCCCGTCATTGATTCAATGACACATTTATTAATCGAAAAGTATATTGCTTAAAATGAAAAAATGAAACTGTTTAAATTAAAAGTACGGTACTGTAGAATTAATGATATTGTGCAAATTGTTTCTGTAGTTCATCTATACATAGCAACAGAATAATTTATTGCTTCTTTGACATTATTCATTTGAAGCATCTAATAGAATGATAAATTTGAAAAAAATGCATGTAAATTTAAATCAAATGAAAAATTGTTTGCTCTAAAGAAGCGCGCTCTGAAAACGAAAGCATATGCTTTCGTTTCAATGAGTGGTGCTATTGCGGACTGCCTATAGCATATGCTATAAAAATAAGAACACTATGTTTTGAGACATTGACAGGTACTAAATTTATTGAAATACTTACCCACATATATTTATATGTTTATTAAACCTGTCGTTTTTGAGATTCCAATATAAAAAAGTATTATTTAAATTCTTTTAATTAATTAATGACTAGTTAAATATAAATTCCCTATATAAATTCCCTTATATACGCGAAAAATCTCGAGCACGGTATTTAACCACAAAGTAAGTGCCCAACGTTGAGAAGCGGATGTATTACATTGCAGCGCGGCGGTTCTCGTCTATCACGGAAGTTAAGCGTCGTTGGTCGCGGTTACTAAATGGATGGGTGACCGCTTGGGAATAGCCGTATTTTTCTGACTAAAAAAGATAAGTGTGTTTGAATGTGTATGTGTGTGTGTGTGTGTTTAGCCGTTGGAAAAAATGAAAATAATAATAAAGATGTATATGTTAGTGTGAAAAATTTAAAAAAAGATGTGTATAAAAAGTGTTGTGTTAAAGGTGTGAGAATTAATTATAGTATATAAAAAACATGTGAACAAAAATTCCCTTTTTTCAATTTATCGTTGGTATATATTTAACCACATAAAAGAATTGAATTAACAGTATGGTGTTATTCAATCGATAGCAACAACTAAAAAAATTAAGAGTACAAATTTTTGAATCATAAAAATGATGCTTTTAAATTTAAAAGTTATAGTCATTGACTCAAAAGCATATACTGTTAAATTAAAAAATGTTGTTTATTGATTCAAAAGGATTCACCTTCGAATTAACATAGTATGCTGTCAATTTAAGAAATATGCTTTTGTTTCAAAGAAAGTGATACTATCGAATCATTAGAATCGGTGCTTTCAAAACAACAGCATATACGTTAGGCAGCCCGTTATGACACTATTCAATGAATCAAACCCATATGTCATTGATTCAACAGCATTTTTTTCTCCGTGTATATAGAGATTTTAACCCAATCAATAACATTCTAGAATATTTTACATATCCATTTAAAATTTTAATCTCTGCGTTCGTCTAAATGTCAAAAAATTCAATTTTTTTGAGAAAAATCAAAATTTTTTTAAAAATATGGAGTGCATTAAAACTTCCTGCAATATATATCGAGATTTCAACCCAATCAATAACATTCTAGAATATTTTACATTTCCGTTTAGAAGTTTCCTCTCTGCGTTTGTCTAAATGTCAAAAAATTCAATTTTTTTGAGAAAAATTAAAATTTTTCAAAAAATCCCTACTAAAAATAAAATCACAAAACGACAGAAATTTAGTCAGAATCTCTGATGATTTTAGGCTGCATTTGTTACGATTGCAGCCACAGAACGTCAGGCTTGAGTCATGTTTAATCAGAAAGCTTCAAAAGTAGTCAGGTTTTTTATAGAAAGTCGACACCCTTTTTTACCTGGAAAAAGGTCAGCTGTCCGTCATAAAATTGAAGGGAAATCTTTTTATTTGTTTATATTCATATATTTATTTAAACATTATATACTTGTTTTTCATCGACTTAGAATTCATCTAACAATATGCTCTTATTATGTATATGCAATATATCTTTTAGAACTTAAATTCAAAAATGATATCCTTTTTTATTTATCAATTACGGTTTTCGAGATGCGTTACAGTTTTCTTAAAAAAATGTTTTTTATAATAAATTTTAGATATTTGTAATTGTGGAGATTTCTAGATTTTGAATTTATATTCATTTTACTTGAAATTTTAAAAATGCAAAACTTTTGAGCAATAAAAATTAGGTTAGAAACCCGAACCTCGTAACAATAGACCCGCGATTCTATTGTGAAAAAAGGGCTACGCACAAATTTCAAGTTTTAACTATACTTTACATTTACCGACTATATTTCGGTGAGGGGGTGTAAATAAAAAAAAAAGATTTCAATACTCAATAATCACAATCCATAAACATCAGGATTCAACAGGAGCATAAAAAACTCTTTTGTCAGAATTAACCAAAAGCTTCAGGAACCGTCAAAGTAGTCACAAAACATCAAAATTTCTGACGTTTTCTCTTTATTCCTGATTTTATTTTTAGCAGGGATTCCAAGTGTATTAAAATTTCCTGAAATGTATATCGAGATCTTAACCTAATTAATAATATTCTAGAATATTTCAGAAATCCATTTAGGAGTTTACGCTCCACGTTTGTCTAAAATCTCAAAAAATCGCTATTTTATCGGTTTTCCTAGCCTAAATTCTATAAAACTATATAAAATATTGAATAAACTTAACAGAATTCTTTCTTTTTTGATTCTTTATCCAACGAAAAATTAATGAGCCAAATCGGTGAAGATTTACTCAAGTTATTCAATTTTATCGAAAAACAGCCGATATTTCGAGAATATATATTCGCGGTTTTTGCTTTTTACTTGGCGGCGATTCTCTACCGCGAATCTTGATACAGATTTTATAGCATCAAATGTAAAAATGTGTCTTTTTTACCCCACTCTACTCTAATACTAATTTAATCTTATTTGTCTAATTTGTTATTTATTTAATTATTAATTTGAATATTTAGTGATTGAAGTCTACCAAATTACTTAAAACGAAATTTCCTATGATAGTGAATTATAGTGACTTTTGTACTTTTTTAAATTTATTATTAAATAAGGCCGCAGTCCCATGGCAGCGTTTTGCGTTGCGTTGTAATGAGAGAGAATGCAGCAAACGTATATTTGCGTCTTTTTTTCTCCCATTACGACGCAACGCAAAACGCTGTCATGGGACTCCACCCTTATGCTGATTCCACACTTACCCAGTCGCTCCGCTTTTCCGTGGCGCTTTGCGTGAGACAGAAAAAGATAGAGATAGTCTCTGTCTTTTTCTATCTCACGCAAAGCGCCATGGAAAAGCGGAGCGCTGGGTAAGTGTGGAATCAGCATTACCAAAGACGACACTAGGCGTGACGTCACACATTGAAGGACAGATATACTGGTGTTAAATCTTCCTTTCTTTATCCAACCCATTCTGTTTATGGCAGCTCTGCACTAATCTCTGTTAATATTAAGGCTGCGGTTACACATCTGCAGGCAGCCTGCCTGCCTGCAGGTTGTCATGGTAACGTACAAGAGTAAGAGAGTCAGTGACTTCAAACTTCTCCCTTACTCTCGTTGCTCCTGCCTGCGCAGGCAGGCAGCCTGCAGAGGTGTAACCGCAGCCTAACTTTCTGCTCAAAGCATACAACGCAGCAATAAAACGTGCATAAATTTGTAAACAATTATTAAAAAAGACAATAATTATACTGCATATGTATAAGAAAGAAAATGAAATCAATGACGATCAAAATTCAAGAACTCAAAATAGAAATTTCTGATTTCAATAAACAAGTAAAGGAAACTTCAAAACAAATGGAAAAATTAAATTTCGAAATAAATCATGCAAAATCAATGACAGCTAAAGTAAATTGTATTATAAATGATTTGACGCACAGATTTGAAAATTTGAGTTTAGAATTCAAAATTGTTCACGAATGTTATCAAAGATTGCCCGAACGATCGATGCAAGAACATATTCAACGTCAAATATCAAAACGGAAAGAAATACTTTTACAAGAAAAGCAAAAGCTTATGTCACAGTTGGGTAGAATAAAATTAAATCGCAGTTGGAAAGGGGAAAGATTACAAGAATTAAACTCATATGCAATGTTTCAACAAGTTTGTATAAACGTAAAATATATAAATTTTTTCGTGATTGTTAAAATTATAATTGATAAAAATTTGAAATTTAACATTTTTTTTACAGAAACAGAAAAAAACTCTTATTTTAAATTTGCAAGAAAATATTAAACAATCAGAAGTATCGAGGAAGAAAGCAATGACAAATTTGAGAGAATTAAAAGAAAAGTATTAAGTTTTGAGAAAAATTGGATCTTTAAAGATTTGAATATCCCGGCGTTTTAAACCTAACCTCAAATTACAGTTAAACTTGATAATTATTTGAAATTCTTCTAATAAACACATGTAAACTAATTTTTTTTCTAAGTTTATTAAATTAAATAGAATTAAAATTATTTGTAAAATAGAGTATAAAAAAAAGTGTTAAAAAAAGACAAATTGAATTTTTTGTGACTTTTGACAGTCTTATGCTTATGCGCGGGGGAGGCGCGCAAGGCAAGAAAAAAAATTGGGTCGATGTGAAAAAGATGGCGACCGCTGTGTGGTGTTTGAGATATTAAAAGGCTTTTTTCCGGACAAACGCTGCCAAGAATTCGATGAGAAACGTTCGAGTTGTTGACGCAAAATGTAATTGAATAGTGCAGGATGGGATTTTTATTATTACAAGTGATTGTTCCTGTTTTGTAATAAGATTTGACACAAGTGTCGTTTTGTTTACCACGTCGGTCTCTTGTGTAACACCATCACAACGGGAAGCCGAGTACGAAAAAGGGACAAAACCCCTCTCCCCCACTTACCCCTCAAAATTGAAAACGAGACTGGAGATCAAGTGAAACCGGACTTTGGCCCGGTGAAAAAAGACTGGTAGAGATGCTGAAGCAATTGCAAATGGGGATGAGAGCTTTTCTCTTGATAGCCTCCCGTGTGTGGACATGCATCTGTTTTCTACTGAAGAAGCAGGTTAGATCCGTAAGTAGGTGCTTCGCGCCTCAATTTTTTTCTTTTTTTTCGCCTAACCGGTCACAAATAATTACCACGTGGACCAAGCAACATAATTTTTCTCACAATCATCTCAATGTCAAGTGTATCATGATGTCATATTTCTTAATTTAAATGTTTCGGATTTCATTATGTATACAGTATACAGTTTTAACATTTCATCACTTTTGTATGCGCGCGCGAACTTTGTTTTTCTGTCCTTTTTATATTTTTTTTTCTGTCAATTTCGCAAAGTAGCGATAATTCTAACCAATTTATTTATATTTATTATTTTATTTCTTACGTAAATGCAATTTTTACTAGTTTTACTAGAAATAATTTCCTTGGTAAATTATTAATTTCATTGTTTACTTTTCTTAGAGGTTTCCCTTTATCTTAAAACTTCCATTGTTATACTATTTTTTTTATTTTCAAAGATCATAAATTTAAATAGTTTAATATCAATGATAATGAAATTGTTAACCAAGTTGAAAATGAATTATATTTTTTGGCAAAATAGCAAAATATTTTCAAGTATTATGAAATTTTGTATTTTTTCTTTTTACAAGTGAAATTATTGATGTTTCAGATTTCTCAAATGCAACCAGTGAAATATGAAATCTTCCCATTGTCTCCATTATCCAGGCACAGACTTAGTAAGTGTTTGTTTAGAAAAATTAATTATTAATATTTTTATTAATTATTAACTATAATAATCGTCGTATTCTGTCCAGTCTGTCCACACTTGAAGTTAGACTTTTGTGCATACTTTTCTTTTTTTGATATGTTTTGATAGATAATATTATACCTACTTCTTTATTTTTTAATTTAATAATATTATCTTTATTTTTCAAATAATTCAAAAATATTTTATTTCTAAAAAACTTAGCATTTTGTAACAAACGTTTTAAACGTAATTAACAAATGTAAATCCTGCAAAATATTATCCTTTCTTTAATATGAAAAACTTAATTCTTTGACAAATAGAAATTATGCAACTATTTTTTCCTTTTTTCTAAAAAAAAAAAATAAAAAATTGTTGGAAAATTAAAATTAGAAAGTAGAAAATATTTTGCACATTTTCGGCTTCTCAATTACAATTCATAAACAAAGTACAAGTTTTAAGTAAAAAAATGTTATAAATCAAATTTTGTTTAAGAAATTTTAAATTTATTTTGGAAAAAAGATTTACAAAATTTTTACTTGTTAAAAACGATTGTAAAATTATTCGATAACATCAATAACTTCTTTTCTGAATAAATAATTATTTAATCATTATTATTTTTCCACAGGAATCAAGATTTTCAAAAAATTCAAATTCAAAACTTTTTGAAATTTAACAACTTATAAGAATATTTATTATAAAACATGAAGAAATTGATTACTCCGAGTCTTCATTTTTTATAATAAATTAAATATAATCGAGTGATAAGATCATTATTTTATATAATAGAAATATTTTTACTGTAATTTTTTTAAAATTATTTTCATTATTTTAATTCAATTATTATTTTCTAGAATTTTTAAATAAAATTCTTCTTTAAATCAATTATTATCTTTAATAATTTTTGAAAGAGTTCTTTAAGAATTTTCAAATCCATTTGTTTACAATTCAATTTTACGAAATTTCAATTATTCAGAAATTCTTCAATTAAATATTTATATTAGAAAATAAAAACTTCAATTATTTTAAAAATATTAAAATAAACTTTTTCAAAAAAATTAATTCTTCAGAATTTCCAATTAAAATGATAGAAAATTCAAATTTTAAAATATTTTAATTTGAAACCTTTTCAAAATTATTCAATTATTTAAATAGAAAAGGAAATAATGTATTGAATAATTAAATGTTTTTAAAATTTAATTCTTATAAGGAATTTTATCAACAAATTTTTAATTAATTAAAATTTTGATGAATTTTAATCAAATTTTTAAGAATAATTACACTTTTAGAGGAATTCGATTAAAATTGTACTAAAAATAATTAAAATTCTGCGATGAGCTTTATTATTTATGAAAATAATTGAACTCCTAAAACAAATTTATTATTTATAAAAATAATTGATGTCATAAAAAAATGTATTATTGATGAAATTATTTGACTTAATGCGAAGAAATTTATAAAAAAAATTTGTTAATAATTGAATTCTTGTGAAAGTTTTATTATTTATGAAAATAACTAATTGTTTAAATACAATTTTATAAAAATTTTTTTCAAATAATTGAATTCTTTTGGGAAATTTTTGAAAATAATTGAATTTTGTTATGTATAAATATAACTGTGATTTTGACGAGAATTTTTTTTTAAGTTTTGAACATAATTGAACTTTGTAAGAAGAATTTTATTACTTTTGAAAATAATTGAATTTCTGCAATAATATTTATAACTTCTCAAAAAATCAATTTTTTAAAATGTTTTTAACTAAATTTTTTCTATAAAACTATTATTTTTAATAAAGTTAATTTAATATTTATTGACAAATTTAACAAATTTCAAGATGAATTTAAATTATTATCATTTTGCAAAAATTTAAGTTTTTTAAAATTTCTAATTAAATTCATATTAAAAATTGAAATTTTATAAAATTTCAAATTAAAACTTTTGAAGTTTATCTATTTATGAAAATTGTAAACGCAACTCTTAAAATTGGATTAATTTTGAAATATTTAAGTAAAATTATTCATTAAATAATTTATTGGTAATAATTTTATGATTGTTGTTCAGTTTTTTAAAAAGAAATTATTGTCAGAAATAGAAAAAATTGAACGTTTTGTATTAGAATTCGTGGTGATTTCATAATTTATGATGCAAACAGAAAAGACATCAAAATTCAGAATTTTCTTATGAATTCTAAAAATTTAATGTTTTCCAGTACTTTTAATAAAAATGCCTGACTTTATGGAAAAACATTTGAATTAAAAATGTTTTAACTCGATTTTTTTTCAATTGATAATTTTATTTTAAAAAGTACGTAAAAAGTTAGCCGCGCACTTTAGAGTGTGTATGTTGCTAGTATATATTAGGGTAATGTCACCTTGAGTGGACCGCCTAAGCTTCTTTTCCAAAAAATTCTTTATGAAAGCAAATTAATCGGAGGTTTCTATTTCAAGCTTTAGTTTAGATCCCTAGATAAGTGTTTATACCATAATAGCTTTGATTTTCTTTTATTTGGAAAAAACAATTGACTTTAAAAAAATAGCTAATTTTTAAGGAATTAAAAAAGTGTAACCTTGAGTGGACCACTCCTAAAAATTGTAAAAGTTATTCTAAATTCTTTAATTTATTTAATATTTCTGATATATTGAAACAAAATTTATGCTTATGCAGCTTCAGACAATGATTGTGTCGAAATGTTTACAAGTGAAACCATTTTTAATAATTTTGGCACATATCACATTAAAATCACAAAAAAATGAATAAAGAACATAAAACCAAACCAATTTATTGTCAATTAATTTCCATAAAAATGGTAAACTGTCATTAAAAATATAAAAAACAGGCAGTCCACTCGTGGTTGTAAACAGTGGTCCACTCATGGTGACATGCAACTGTTTATGGCAGACACCACAATTTTTTTTTGAGCCAAAATTATCACTTAATTAATCTAAGACAATCAATTTCAATGTCCAAAGTAGTAGGAAAAAAATAAGTTACCTTTTAAAACTTAAATTTTACACTACTTTTACACTTCCGAATCACTTTACTCATTGCAAGAGCGACTTCTTTTTTGGGTTGTGTTCTTAAAAATGCGTTACATCAAACAATAACGTATATGATTATCGCGGAACATAATTTCTTACGGTTTCTAGGTGCGGTGCTGCTATTCGTTTTATTTATTTCACGTTTCCGCTGTCAGATAACTTAAAAGCTCAAGTGGTCCACTCAATGTGACATTACCCTAATTATTGAAAAATACTTTCACAAGGTAATTGATTTTTAAAATTATGAATTTGTAGGTATAGTCAAAAGAAAAGTTTTGGTCCTTGACTTGGATGAGACACTCATTCATTCTCATCACGATGGAGTAGCGAGACCAACAGTCAGACCTGGAACACCACCTGATTTTGTTCTGAAGGTGAAAATTGATCGACATCCAGTTCGATTTTTTGTACACAAAAGACCACACGTTGACTTCTTTTTGGACATTGTCAGCCAGTGGTAAGCACACACATTCATTCATTTACTCTTTTTTTATTTATTATAAATTTCACAGTTAAAACAAATTTTATTTATCCTAAAAAGAATAACCGTTTTAAATTCTAATGAATTCTAATTAATTTAGACGACATAGAAATTTTTATAACTTGAAAATTTACTTTGTTAATGATTTATATTGATTGAAATTTTATTCTATTCAAACATTAATCGATTCATAATGATCAAATCGCATAAACAAATTATATGAATTTTCAACTTATCAAAATTTTAATCTATTGCCGTATCAATTGAGGAGCTGGATCGAAGAACCGGCTCTTCGCTCGGACCGCACGCGCTTATACCAGTCGGGTAGGAGTGAGTGGCCCAGAGGCGCTCACTGCCACCCGACTGATATTAGCGCTGGAGGTCCGAGTGAAGAGCCGGTTCTTCGATCCAGCTCCTCAATTGCTCTAAATTTTAATTGATTCATATCTTGCAATAAAATGTCCTTCAATTTTTAAAAAAAATATTTAATTCTTCTTGAATTTTTTTGTTATGAATTTTGATATCACCACGACTTTTAATATAAAACTTAAAATTTTTTCTTATTTTGACAATAATTAATTAGAGTTTTATTAGTTTTATTAGACAATAATTAGAGAGTATGAAATTAAATTTTTATTGTAGATCATTTAATTCTTGAAGAACTTTCGTGAAATTATTATTTATGCATTATTTAACTCTCTGCTGATGCTAACGACCGTTATCGTCAAAAATCGTCATTCTGGACGCCTGGTGGGGACTATGGGAGTTACGTTCTTTGGCGATAGAGTGGGGATAAGTTAGCGTCAGCAGAGGGTTAATTATTAATTATTTAGAATTTTTTTTATAAATAATTCACTTTGAAAAGGTTTTAATTTTGAAAATCCTAATTCGTGGAATAATAATAATAGAAATAATGATTAAATATTTAGTTTAAAAATAATTATTGATATTTGAATTGGAGATATTCATAAATAAGTGTATTATAAACATTTTCTTGTGTATCTAAATATTAATTTTTAGAGTGAATCAGAATATTCTTTTGAGTCAGGGAAAAAGTCCAAATTCTATCTGGAAATCATGGGAAAGTTAGAGAAAAACAAAATCGAATTTTTATGACAACCTAGATATTTTACTGTAAAATTGATTTTTGGTTTTTAATTCAAATAAGTATTAGAGTTATATAAAGTAAAGTTTATATTTTTTTTCAATTTTTAGGTATGAATTGGTAGTATTTACAGCTTCCATGGAAATTTATGGAGCCGCTGTTGCTGACAAATTAGACAACAATAGGGGTATATTGAGGCGCAGATATTATAGGCAGCACTGCACGCCGGAAATGGGTTCCTACACTAAGGACTTGGCTGCAATTTGTTCAGATTTAGCTTCAGTTTTTATACTTGATAATAGTCCTGGAGCTTACAGAGCATATCCAAGTGAGTTCATTGAAAATCATTAGTAAATATTAATTTTTCTCATTATATTTAAAATACAAAATAAATAATAATTTAAGGGGGTCATCCCTTGTGATGGGTTCAAAATTGATGGTTCCGGATCTTAAAAGTGCACTTTCAGCATTGATTTTAAATGGTAAAAGTGCCCTTTTATAAGATCCGGAGCCTCAATTGTTAAGGGAGGTGTACAGATAATTTTTGTAATTTAAAAAACTTAAGTTTAAAGCGAACAAAGCAGAATAATAAAATTCTTCAAAAATTGTGGGTGTACTTCAGAATAAGGGGGACCTCCGATTTCAATAAAAATTGGTATACCAACGTATTTTGATGCGCTGATTACGAAAATGATAATGAAATTTGGCGCAAATTTCATCTTTATGGTGAAAACCATAAAAAAACCATAAATTGTGGTTTTTTGCGTATAATTCGTAAAAAACGAAAAATTTTGAAAAACTTTTTAAACAAAAGTTATAGAACTCACCAAAATACACATTTTATGTTGTTATCATTATTTGCTAAAATCCATCATTTTCCGAGAAAAATGTAAAAAACCATAAAATACCATAAAAAGGGGTCAAAAAATACTTTTGCTCAAAATAACAGCCAATTTTAACAAAAAATACAGTTCCTTTACGTATTTTGATACTCTGATCACGAAAATCATAATGAAAATTGGTGCAAATTTAATGATTATGGTAAAAAACCATAAAAACCCATAAAATAACCATAAAATTGTGGTTTTTTGCCTCAATTCGTGTACCGTTGCTCTATGCATACAGAAAGGGAGTCAAATTTACTTCCTAGTTGGTACTAGAAGGTACACAACCCAGACCGAGACCACTACAACAAGTCCCCCCCAAAAAACCTTTTTTAAGGGCCCTAGGGGAAAAGCTGGGAGGCAGGCGAAGCCCGCCTCAGGTCGTGTGCCCTTGCTCTGTGCACACAGAAAGAGAGTCAAATTTACTTTCTAGTTGGTGCTAGAAGGAACACAACCCAGACCCGAGCCCCCTACAACGTGTCCCCCCCAAAAAACTTTTTTTAGGGCCCAAGGGGGGAACAGCTGGGAGGCGGGCGAAGCCCGCCTCAGGTCGTGTGCCCTTGCTCTGTGCACACAGAAAGAGAGTCAAATTTACTTGCTAGTTGGTACTAGAAGGTACACAACCCAGACCCGAGCCCCCTACAACGTGTTGAGCAGGTTCTTCGTTCCAGCTCCTCAATTGTAATTTTTAGAAATTATTGGGTCAGAATTCGTGAAATTATCATGAAAAATAAAAAGTATTTTTTTAAATCGAAATGTTGAAAAAACAAAAAAAAAATTTTTTTATAAAAGTTATTGCAAATTGAATTTTTTGCAACTTTTAAAACAAAATTTTATTTCTCCTAAATGAATGAACCGATTTAAATGAACCAAGTGGGAATATAAAGAGGATAAAATATACTTTCGTTTAGAATTAGAAAATTTTTAAAAAGTTTATTTTTTAATAATTATTTAATAACTTTTTTATACATAATTTTTTTTTTTTTAAAGTTATAATGAAAATTAAATTGGCGCGGTGTAGTGCACCAACGCTACACTTAGTTTTTATTTTCCTGTAAAAAGAATTTTGGAGACGCATGACTTCCCGAAATATTATTTGACGTCAAAATACAATTGACGTTTATGCCAAATGAATTTTATAACAAATAAAATTTACGTTAAATGAATTTTATGTCAAAGAAATTTATGTTAAATGGTTTTTTTGTCAAAAGAAATTTATGTTACATAATTTTTATGTCAAATGGGAATTAAGTTATCTGAGTTTTATGTAACATAATATTTCTGTTAAATAAATTCTATGACAAATGATATTTATGTTAAATGGTTTTTGTGTGCAATGAAATTTATGACAAATAGGGGAGAGTGGGGCAAGACGGGGTACTTAAGGTTTAAAGCGCAAAAAAATGAAAATTATCGAATATATACTTTATTATTTTTTTAATTAGGGACGCATGATTATTCCCCAAATGTCATTTTTCCGAAATGTCATTTTACCGAACTGCACTTTTGCGAATAGTCATTTTTGCGAAAAGCCATTTTTGCGAATAGTAATTTTTGCGAAAAATCATTTTTACGAATTTTCATTTTTGCGAATTGTCATTTTTGCGAATCGCCATTTTTACGAATTGTCACTTTTGCGAATTGACATTTTTACGAATCGCCATTTTTACGAATTGTCACTTTTGCGAATCGACATTTTTACGAAATGTCATTTTTGCGAATAGCCATTTTTGCGAAAAGTAATTTTTACGAATTGTCTCTTTTCCGAAAAGTCATTTTTGCGAATTGTCATTTTTGCGAATTGTCATTTTTGCGAAAAATACAATAGTGAATCTATATATACCTACAAGTTTACTATTTTATTTTTCGCAAAAATGACAATTCGCAAAAATGACTTTTCGGAAAAGTGACAATTCGTAAAAATGGCGATTCGCAAAAAGTGACAATTCGCATAAATGACATTTCTCAAAAATGAAATTTCGCAAAAATGACAATTCGCAAAAACGACAATTCGTAAAAATTACTTTTTGCAAAAATGGCTATTCGCAAAAATGACATTTCGTAAAAATGTCGATTCGCAAAAGTGACAATTCGTAAAAATGGCGATTCGTAAAAATGTCAATTATTATTTTATGAAAAACAAATACTGTTAATATATATTTGTCTTCAAGAATTGACTTTCAAAAAAATATTTTTTATTTTGTGTTTCTCACAAAACAGAATGTCATGTAAGTCTCAGTTTTCAGTGAAATAGCATATCTCAGAAGTCGTGAAAAATTTCACCATGTGGTATATAAGAACAATTCAATACGTACTTTTAAGTGTTAAGTGTGTGTTTACATATATATTTAATATATATGTATATATGTATATATGTAATATATATGTGTGAACAGTACTTTTTTTTCCCGTGTGCTCAAAGCCCATTGGCCGCAGACAGAACAAGCAGCCCAGTCTTCATTTGAGTCTAAATAATAACCATTGCAATAGAGACAAGGTGTATTTTCCACTTTACCGTCGCTAATTGATGATTTAACCTGACAAACTTTTTTCTTTTTGGCCACTTTTATTTTATTCAGTCTTGATTTGAGTAGTTTTCTTAACTTCTCTTATTTCTCTTTTCTTTTGCTTAATTTGTGTACCCCGTCTTGCCCCCACCTACGAAATTGAAGAAAAAGGTTAATTACTACAATTTACGATTCAACAAAAAAAACATATGCTTCCCTTCTTCTATAACCCTTGCCAGTTAGAAAAAAATTTATACAGTTCATTAACTGTTATTATTAAATAATAAACGCCTCCTAAAAAATGTGAAAAAATGACAACAAAATCGTCGAAAATAGTTTTTTTAGTAAAACAGATAAAAGATTTGTTCTCATGGCTTTTAGGTTTTATAAACAAGAAACTATCGTCTCGGTGCAGTATTATGTAAAATATAATCGCGATTGGTTAATTCGTTTGTTAAATAGGGCCGGTACCCCGTCTTACCCGCTACCCCGTCTTGCCCCACTCTCTCCTAATGTTCATATTATGTGAATTTTATGTTAAGTAGTTCTATATAAAAATAACTATTTGGTCAAAAAAGATTTCGGGAATAAGCATGTGCCTCGAATTTTGTCAGGGAAAATAAGTTTAATGTCAGTAAATTGTCAGGGAAATTGATAATCTGAAACTTGTGACCACCCTGATTTAATATCGCTCAATACAAAAATAATGTTGAAATTTGAAAATTCAAAATGGCGTATCAAAAATGTCTGATTAAATTTCTAAAGTTTCTTAAAATTAGCTAATCTGAACAAAAACTGATATTCTAATGTTTTTGAGATCTATATGAATTCAAATATGATGGTTTGATTAAAATATTCAAAATGTCGTATCCAATAAAGCGGATTGAACTTTTTAAAAATGCTTGGTTCTGAACCAAATTTGGTATTACAATGTTTTTGAGGTCTCCGAATTAAAATATGATTGTTTCTTCTTTATGCGACAAAATAAACACAAAAAATTACGTTTTAAAAAAAATCATTTTAAAATATTATTACTTGCAAAGATTTGAATTTGTTGATAAAATGTTACTAAACATATGGTAAAAATTTTAAAGATTTTAAAATAAAGAGCAGTGTTTCTAAATAATAATTTGTTTCATAATTTCAGATAACGCGATTCCAATAAAATCGTGGTTCAGTGATGCTAGCGATACGGCGCTTCTTAGTTTACTTCCTGTTCTGGACGCCCTTCGTTTTACGCAAGATGTGCGATCTGTTCTTTCGAGAAATTTACATTTACATCATACGTGGTAGCATATTCATCATCCATCGTTTTAAAAAATTAAATAGAAGTAAACCGCTGACAGTTTAGTGTGTCTAGGACAGATTCATTTGTTGTTATTAAAACTAGATACATTAGAATTCTATCCAATAATGAGACGGAGCCCTCTTTTTTACACTAATTTTTTACAGTATCTGTTATAAACGGATATTCTATTTAAAAGAAAATGAAAGAAGAGTCTACTAGACATTGGGATGAGAGGAGGGGGACCGTCAGCCAATATTTATGTTAGCACAAAATTACATAAAATAATCTTCATTTTTTTAGTTAATTTTTGTTTTTCCAATTTATTACATTTTCAATTTAACCAAAGAACAGACTTTCGAGTAAAAACGACTTTTTCGTACATTTTTCTGTAATGAATAGTATTTAAAGAAATGCCGATATATCTACGGAAAATGCGATTATCGTGAATCGAAAATATTGTCAATAGTAGCAGAGAATTTAATTTTTTTGTAATTTGTTATTGAGTGTGCGTCAAAAAAGAAAGAATAAACTTTCAGTAAATGATTCTGATTGCAGATGTAAGCGTAAAATATATTTCTATTTTCTTTATTAACAACAATTCATCAATGATTGGCAATATTGACAATTAATTTTTAAATTAATTGGAAAAATAATTAGTAAATTATGAATTGTAGTTTTTAAATGATTAATAAAACCATTATAAATTTTTAGTAATTAATGAAATTGATAATTAACAGAGTCTGTTAAATTGATGTTACATTTTTTATAGAAGTAAGAAAGAAAGTAAAACTTTAAACGAACCATGAAGAATTAATATAGTAGTAATTTATAATTTCTTAAAATAATTTATTTTGGTTCTGTCTAAGGAAAAAGCAAATTATTTTTCATGCAAAAAAATAACTTTAGTAATAAATATTATTTGAAAATATAACAATTAAAAATGTATGTGTTAAATAATATATTTGTATATTAAATATGATGTGGATTAAATTTTATACAATTAAAAATATAAAAAATTTTAGTCTCGTGGGATTTTAAGTTTTTTTTTCTTTTTTTTGAAGCACACTCTCTTGTTTCAATTAACAACAAATTAAATTATTCTGTTAATATCGTCCGACATCTGTTAATAAAACCCACAGTACTATTTCTCCATTATGCATACTATTGACTTTTTAATATGTCTGAGAAAGAAAAAAAGTGTTAAAATAAGCCTGCGCGAATACAAATAAAATTTTCGTGCTTACGATCTCTCGAAGCAATGCACTCCGGATTCTAATATTGTCATGAAAGCGAAATTTAAAATAACCGAAAAAATTCGGTTTAATGGACTTTTTACATTTTTTTTTGTGTTTATTCAGTAAAAAGTTTCGCTTATGAATTTCAATCGTGTTTTGACATCTCTTAAACAAAAGTTTCATGTGCAAAATATTTCAAGTAATTATTTATTTGATACTTCAGTTTAGTAATATTTTAATATAGTTTTTTTCTGTTAGTAATCAAGTAACTACTGCCAATATACATATATTTTTTTCTGACTTATTTCATCGACAATAAAAAATAGTCGAAAGTAATTGAAATACTTTAAAGAATTTTTTTCAGTCTTCCATTATTATAGTCAAGTGATTTCTCATTTTTTTGAGATAGTAGTTACAGTCAGAATGTTCAGTGCGATTTACTATTTAACGATAAATAAGATGTGTTAAGAGCAACAATATAAAAAAGGATTTTTTCTTCTAAACAAATTTTTAATTAAATTTAATAGAATAAATTTCAATCTTACAAAGTTCAATAAAATTAATTTCTATGACAATAAAACGCAATGACCATGAAATTCAATTAAATGAATTCTAATAATAAAAAATAATTATAATAAAATTTGAGTTAATTTTAATTTAATGAAAGAAGTGTCCGTTTATGAAAACGATTCGAAACTCAATAAAACTAATGACTTTTCGAATAAATCATTATTAAATCGATGATAGAAATAATTTGCAAAAGTGTAATTTTTTTCTCCCTAATGAATTTTTTTTCTGACTTGTGATACTTTTGTTAAATAGATGTTATAACACCGAAAGTGTTTGCTCAGGCCTAGTACTAAGTGATTTGAAATGGACTGCGTCGCAACTCACTGTATCAGTGAGGCGACTTGTCTCGCTTTATATAATATAATCTATAAACAAAGAGTATTAGTGACCCTTGCAAAACGACGGAATTTCTTTTGTTAAAGATTTACAGTACTAGAAAACAAGTTTTTTTAAATGAAAAATATAATAATCAGGTGATCAGTCAAAACCTTAAAATAAATCTTCAAAGGAAGATAATAGAGATGGAGGGAGAGAGAGAAAGAGAAAGAGAAAGAAAGAAGGAGAGAGCAATTTCAAGATGAAAATCCCAGGTACATCGTTGTGTACTTTATCGGCTTGTCTAATGAGTTATGTATGTCAAAGAATTTTGTAGATTTGTACATATTAGAAATCAGTGAATATTTGTAATGTGAAAAAGAATGTTTGATGCGTTTGTTCGAGATGAGTGATTGGATCTTAATTAAAATGATATACATGTGCATGGTATTCAAAAAATATGAAAACGGTTAAATATCACAAAATGTTATGATTATTGAGAAAAGTAATTGAAACAAAAAATTATTAATAGAAACAAATTATACCTTTTCCATATTTTTTTTGAAAACTCCGTATATTTATATACAATATAAATCGAAGTTAATTATGATCAATAAAAAAATATATAAAACATAAAAAAAACGTTAAGCTAAAGTAGCAAGATAAAGTCCGCAGGATTAAACTGTCGGAAAATTTTTTATTTATAAATTTTTTTCCAATGTAAATCACAATTATAGTTGATATTCCCGAGATTTATAGTTTATAATTATTTTTTCCAAATGAGCTTTACTTTAGTTTTTTACAATTAAAATTTGATCGAAAATTATTTAAGGAGAGAGAACAAAGTAACTTGATATATTGTGTATGTACAGAGAAACAAGAAAAACTTTTTATTAGATACGTAAGAATATATAAAAAACACTTAGTTTATTTTCTAAAAAACACAATTTACGGGTCTTGGTTCATACTGCCACTGTCATGCAATAATTATTTAGTACTTTGTACATTTGGTTTTAATGTATAATTACGAAAATTCGTATTTATATTTCGGTGTTTAATTCGAAATACATGTACAATTTATTAAATGAGTTAAAAGTTAACACCGAAATATATAGAATTTGTTTCTCACTGGCAGTGTTTCTGGCATAATTTAAAAATAACAACAAGAATTGGAAGCCTAAAGTGTTAATTCTTTTTATTATTTTTACTCTTTGGGTGGATCTTCTCGAATCATTTCCAAAGAACTGTCCGAATTATTGGTACTGCTTCCGCTACCAGCGTCGTCTTCTCGTTCCGTGGATTTTTCTTGATTTTGATTCGCAGTATGTAACTGCCAAGCAGGAATAGAAGGCGGTGCACTTGGAAATTGTTTTCTAAAAAAAAGTAATAAGAATGAAAAATATATATGAAACATATTTTTATCGAATAGAAAAGGAAATTTTCTTATTGCTACATTTGATTGTTAAAACATTATCAAGGTTGTGATTTAAAGAAACAGTGTCAGTGTTTGTGAAATGTGAAATTCTAATACATAATAATAAGTCAGCGAGAAAGAATTAAAATCCCTTTGAATGATGTCTGAGCAACTCATTTTCAATTGCAATAGAAATTATATACGATTGTCACTTTTACAAAACATGCTGTACTACATCATTTTATGAAATTGTACGATAATAAAAGAAAATGAAAAACTGAAAATTTATTTGAATAATTCTTCAGAATGTCAATATTAAACTGATAAACTAAATTAATGTTTAAAATTAAAAAATTCAATGTTGGCATTGAGTCTGTCAATTTTTCTAAAATTTGGTGTAAATGTAGTGTCTCTGATATTCTTCAATCGATTTTGTTATTATTTATTTGACTTATAATTGTTATACCAACAATTGTAATGCAATAAAACGCAAACAAAATTTTTTCAAAATTTGCCCCAAAAAAAGTAAAAAAAAATTTTGATTTCGGACAAAAGCACACCTTCAATTTTTTTGTAACTATGATATTTGGATTCCTTATCTTCTCCAGAATTTTTTGCGAAAAAAAATTCCTGGAGACTTTAACCCTCCTACGGTTTAATTAAATTGCAGAAATCGGTAATAAAATGGTTCAATTTACCCTGCATAGAAAATTTTATATCTCAACATGCTTTAATAGTTTTTATGGTCACTGATTACGAATCCGGTGTCCATTTTTAAAAATTCAAAATGGTGGACCTTTTTCAAAATTTTTTTATTTTTAATCAAAACATTTTTTATAAATATCCGCTATATTGGATCCGCTAATTTGGATTTTGAAAATCTGATTCCAGATTCGTAATCAGCGACCCCGAAAACCCCGCGAGTATTGATTTTCATAAGCTGATTTTATAAACTTTTTGATTTAATGCACATTATCCACTTATTAAAAAACTTGCTTGTTTAACTAATATTTAAAGTTATGTAACTTTGATAAAAAAAATTTCTTATCATTGCTAACAAATATTTTTGAAAAGCTTATAGCATTAGCTTCAATTTCCACTTTAGATCATGTAATTCCGATGTATTGTTGACGAGTTATAAAATATTTATTTAGTTACCCCGAGTATACTCGGGGTTAACCGTTTTGGTACAGTCAATTTACCCCGAGTTAACTCGGGACAAACCGTAGGGAGGTTATAACTAACCGAAATATCGAATTTTTTGTCCTGCAGCGCACATTGCACTTACGCGAATGTAAGTGTCATGACTCACAAAGTGTCATCCTTCGAGACCCGACAAGTGTCACTTTCCCCACTTTTTTTACCCTCTCCAATGCTAAAAATGGACTTCCCCGAACCGGTTTGCAACATAAACCAATGAAATGACCACTTTTATTAAATGGGCGTGGCTTAGGGTAATGACACTTACTGAGACAGACGGCCCCAAAAAATTCCCAGTGACGACACTTAGCGAGACCTGACTGTATTTTGATTATTAAGTTGTTCATGTAATTGTTAACAAAATAAAAAATGAAACCAAAATATTTCTCAGAAGAGAAATATCTAAGCAGCGATAACCTATAATTTCTTGCAGCATTTTTTGTTAAAAAATTAATTTATAAATAAGAAAATAACATTTTAAAATAATTTTTTTATCCTTCCGTATATTTTTAATAAATAATATTTGTTCGATTCAAGGAAGATAAATTAAATGAAACAATAAATTTTCATTTTTTTGACAACGTTTCGATGGACTGGTTCGCCATCATCATCAGGTCACTTTAATAAACAAATTCACAAGTCACATAAAATATATAAAAAAATAATATATAAAAGAATATAAATTTAAACAAATTCGATGATATTTACCTCATTATAAAATTATATAAAATTTTGGTCACAATCAAAATAATTATAAAAATAAATAAATAAAACTTGTTAATAGTAAAATCATTACATTTAATATGAATCATTTCGGAAACTAATCTTTTTTTATGAGAAGTTTCATTATCTAAAATTTGCACATCATCTCTCCCAAGAAGACTAGAGACAGGAGGTAAAACTTCGGTAGTGGGGGTATGGCAATGCTGAGTCGCTCAGCTGATGTATGGTCAGGCGTTTACTTTCAAAAAAAGTTTTCGCCGCAATAGACCACACGGACTTCTGCGCAGCTACACACGTAAACACAGGAAAATATATTCTATACAAATACAATATGAAATATAAGTGTTTATATTTTCAAACATCTTTTAGTTATTAAAAAAACGTTTTAAAAACAAAAAAATGTGTAAACTGTAGCATGAAGTGTATTAAAAGTTAACAGAAAGTAATAGTCATAGTGTTGTGTAGGTTTATCTTTCTTCTTGTTACAACTTTTCACACAGCACGTTTTCGGAATTTTTAACTATTTGAATAACACTTAATTTAATAATCACTCACATTAATTCTATATATCCGTTATGACACACATTGTCAATTGTGTCTCGATTGCACTGATTGCACTTTAAAGTTAACCTCAAATTAAAATCATATCATACACATATGTAAAACATATGGTATACAAGAATTTGAATGTGTGAGTGATGTGCAGAAGCACCGCGCCGGCGACTTTTCGAAACGAAAAACGCCTGGTTAATGAAAGGCATTTGACTCATCCCCACTACCGAAGTTTCACCTCCTGTCTCTAGCCTTCTTGATCTCTCCCTAAATCTCATGTAAACAATAGTTTCAAATTGAGAGAGAAATTAAAAAATTTTATTTTACCAAACGATTCTGTTTTGCTTTCTCTCGATGTAACTTTACTTTTTACCAATGTTACTTGTGATTTAGTTGTTCAAAGTCTAGATAGAAGATATAACACCATAAATAATAATTGTAAAATTCCTTTTAATGACATTGTCCATTGTACGAAGTTTCTTTTTGATAACACATTTTTTTCATTCAATAAAAAAATTTATCAACAAATTGAAGGTACACCTATGGGTTCACTAATATCACCATTTTTCGCAGACATTGCAATGGATGATATGGAGTCAGATTGTTTATATTTACTAAAAAAGAATTTTAATTGTATTCCTCATTTTTACTTTAGATATGTTGATGACACTCTCTTATGTGTTCATAAAGATCATGTTCAACTTGTTATTGATACTTTTAATTCCTTTAATATTCATCTTAACTTTACTTATGAATTAGAAAATAATAATCAGATAAATTTCTTAGACATGAATTTAATTAAAAAAAATAACAACCATCTCATTACCAATTGGTACCAAAAACCAACTTCATCTAACAGAATAATAAATTATGACTCCTATCATCCAATCTAACAAAAAAAGAACATTGTATACAATTTGTATGACAGGGCTATTTGTTGTCTCACGAATCTTTTCACAAGGAAAATATTAGGAAAGTTAATGATATTTTAAAAAACAATAATTATCCATCAGAATGTATCAAAAAACATATAAAAATCCGATCTTTCATTATACATAAGAGAATATCAAATAACATACAATCTAACAATACTTCTTCGATTTATAGTCGATTACCAAAAATTTGTATTTCTTATAATAACAATTACTTTAAGTTATCTTATATTTTAAAAAAATATAACTTATTATCGATTCCGATTGTTCAAAAAACCTTGACTTCTGTTGTAAAATTGGGAAAGGACCTTACAGATAAGTGGGATAGATCTGGTATTGTCTACAAGTTTAATTGTAATGATTGCAATGCAACGTATATTGGTGAATCGAAACGTACTTTACACTGAAAAAAAAGTGCTGTTGAATCAAATATCTCCATGCTATTGAATTCCCCGTCATTGATTCAATGACACATTTATTAATCGAAAAGTATATTGCTTAAAATGAAAAAATGAAACTGTTTAAATTAAAAGTACGGTACTGTAGAATTAATGATATTGTGCAAATTGTTTCTATAGTTCATCTATATATAGCAACAGAATAATTTATTGCTTCTTTGACATTATTCATTTGAAGCATCTAATAGGTAAATTTGAAGAAAATGCGTGTAAATTTAAATCAAATGAAAAATTGTTTGCTCTAAAGAAGCGCGCTCTGAAAACGAAAGCATATGCTTTCGTTTCAATGAGTGGTGCTATTGCGGACTGCCTATAGCATATGCTATAAAATTAAGAACACTATGTTTTGAGACATTGACAGGTACTAAATTTATTGAAATACTTACCCACATATATTTAAATGTTTATTAAACCTGTCATTTTTGAGATTCCAATATAAAAAAGTATTATTTAAATTCTTTTAATTAATTAATGACTAGTTAAATATAAATTCCCTATATAAATTCCCTTATATACGCGAAAAATCTCGAGCACGGTATTTAACCTCAAAGTAAGTGCCCAACGTTGAGAAGCGGATGTATTACATTGCAGCGCGGCGGTTCTCGTCTATCACGGAAGTTAAGCGTCGTTGGTCGCGTTTACTAAATGGATGGGTGACCGCTTGGGAATAGCCGTATTTTTCTGACTAAAAAAGATAAGTGTGTTTGAATGTGTATGTGTGTGTGTGTGTGTTTAGCCGTTGGGAAAAATGAAAATAATAATAAAGATGTATATGTTAGTGTGAAAAATTGAAAAAAAGATGTGTATAAAAAGTGTTGTGTTAAAGGTGTGAGAATTAATTATAGTATATAAAAAACATGTGAACAAAAATTCCCTTTTTTCAATTTATCGTTGGTATATATTTAACCACATAAAAGAATTGAATTAACAGTATGGTGTTATTCAATCGATAGCAACAACTAAAAAAATTAAGAGTACAAATTTTTGAATCATAAAAATGATGCTTTTAAATTTAAAAGTTATAGTCATTGACTCAAAAGCATATACTGTTAAATTAAAAAATTTTGTTTATTGATTCAAAAGGATTCACCTTCGAATTAACATAGTATGCTGTCAATTTGAGAAATATGCTTTTGTTTCAAAGAAAGTGATACTATCGAATCATTAGAATCGGTGCTTTCAAAACAACAGCATATACGTTAGGCAGCCCGTTATGACACTATTCAATGAATCAAACCCATATGTCATTGATTCAACAGCATTTTTTTCTCCGTGTAAGAAAGCGAATCGACGAACATAAAAAGAGTAAAAATTTAGATTCAGTTGTGAATAAGCACCAAAATGATTATGGTCATTCTTTCAATTTTGATGATGTGCAAATTTTAGATAATGAAACTTCTCATAAAAAAAGATTAGTTTCCGAAATGATTCATATTAAATGTAATGATTTTACTATTAACAAGAAGGAAGATACACAATAGCTTAGTAATGCATATTTTCCTTTACTTAATAAATTGAAAGAGTGATCATTTTCATAATATTTCGACTTGCGATCATTGAACTCGTCTCCTGTATATAATATGAAGATTGTCGTCTAAGCAGTCAGTCTGACTAATCACTCATTGAAAAATGTTTGTGATTTTCAATTTTAAAATTTTATTTTTCCGTCTAGTTTTATTTATTTATTTTTATAATTATTTTGATTGTGACCAAAATTTTATATAATTTTATAATGAGGTAAATATCATCGAATTTGTTTAAATTTATATTCTTTTATATATTATTTTTTTATATATTTTATGTGACTTGTGAATTTGTTTATTAAAGTGACCTGATGATGATGGCGAACCAGTCCATCGAAACGTTGTCAAAAAAATGAAAATTTATTGTTTCATTTAATTTATCTTCCTTGAATTCCACGCCTCCAAGGCGATTTCAGGGATGTGTGAAACATATTTATCGCCCCGAAAGACACAATTTCAATGACTTTGGTCCGTTTAAATTACACAGCACTGAGCACCGGCGCGCGCATGCTAGAAATTGAACGACTCGTGAATCGGACACTGATCAGCTGTTAAACGACTGGCGAGTTTGAACGACTCGTGAGTTGAACGACTCGCGAGAACTCACTGTAATTACTTTTGTAAAATTAATGCTTTTAATTTTATGTGTCAATTTTACAATTTTCTACTATGTACTCACAAAGTATAGGTTAATATATTTGTCTTTTTATTACCTACTTTCAGAATAGTAAATTTACAGAAAATTCAAAATATGTATTTTACAAAAGGGATTTTAAATTCGCTACTTTTAAAGACGTTAATTTACAAGTTTCTATAAAATTCCATAAAAAAAACTGTTAACCTACAGAAAATTTTTTTCAGTGTAATATAATATAACTTATTATGAAAATCTCAAATTCTTGTACGAATTCTTTGCAAATTATAATTTATGCGAACTGCCATTTTTTTCGAATTGTCATTTTTACGAAATGTCACTGTTGCGAGTTGTCATTTTTGCGAAAATTGCTATAGTAAATCTATATATGCATAAAAGTTTACTATATCAATTTTCGAAAAAATGACAATTCGCAACAGTGACAATTCGAAAAAAATTCAGTTCACATAAATGACAATTCGCAAAAGTGACAATTCGTAAAAATGTCGATTCACAAAAGTAAAATTTCGTTAAAATAACATTTCGGATAAATGCATTTCGGTAAAATGACAGTTCGGTCAAATGACATTTGGGGAATAATCATGCGCCTCACGTCCTTAAGTATAAATACCTCAAGAATAAAAAAAAGTTGAACTATATTTATGATATGTACCTATAAAATTAATAATTATAAATGTATTTGTATTTACTTGGATAGAAGTAACGATTTTAGGCTTGCCAAGTCCTGTTTTAATTCTTGAACCAGCTGAGGAATTGTTGGATCGACTGAATGGCTTTTCGCCAAATTTTGAACATCGACTTCTACTTTTGTCAGAGATTCCTTAACTTCTTTCATTGAACGTTGAATGGTTTGGTCTAATTCCTTTACGGAATCTCTTGGATGATCAGGTTTTTTACTCCCGAACAACAGAGGTGCAATAAATTTCTAAAAAAACAAACACTATTAAGGGCATGTGGGAAAACCCCCTTCAAACAAGTGATTTCCCGCGTGTCGTCTCACTCCTAAATAAGTTGAGATATCAAGTTTGGATTTGTCAGGATATATCTTTAATAAAATAATTTCTTCGCAAAATTATTGTAAAAATAAAATAATGATAAATAATTAATTATCAAAATTTTGCAATTGTTTTTTTTTAGTTTTTTCTTAAATAACCAGAAGAATTTTTAAATGTGTTTTTTTTGTTTTCCTGTAAAATTATGAAATTGGCGCTTGACCTCTTATTTTTTCATGTCGCCATTCATTTAATCATTTACTGACAATTTAATACAACTATTTGTTTTCGGTAAAAATGTCTATTGGAAAGAACAACCATTAGAAAAATATTATTTTTCGAAATTTGACATGTTTAAATCATAACGAAATAGATGTGTAATTCACATGTAAGGCAATTAATGTTCCAATTTGTTAACATTTGCGCATATATGTGCAAATTTAAATAGAAATCAATTAAATATAGTGTTGTAAGTAATTAATTCCTATTGTATAAAGTATTTTTTGATATACACTACCGTCCAAAAGTATCAGGACGATTACATTCGACTCTATGAAAAAACATGCCATTACTTTTTCAATCATATCTCGGAAATAAAAGGAGGTACAAAAAAAAAACTTAAATACGGTTAGAAAGCTGATTAAATTCTGCGTAAAATAAGCCGTCTTTGCTTTTGAAGTCATTTCGTTAATTATTTTTTAAGTTGTAGAGTGAGAAAGAAATAAAAAAAATTATCAAATTTTCTTATTTTTGTCTCTTGACTTCAACTTTTTCAAAAATCTAGAAAAATTTAGATAAAATTTTTCTAAAAACACAGAAATCTTCGTTAGAATTTCAGCTTAAAAATAAGCCTTCGAAAATTAAAAAAGGTTCATCCGTTTTCGATATATCATTAAAAATGTGAAGCAGTGTTTCGACCGATTGCTGCATTGAAATTCAACTGTGACGACTCGATTCTGGCTTCGCGCGGCAGCGAATGAGAGAAAACAGGGACGAATTTTTGCTGGAGAATAATAAATAATGATGTTTCACGAGTAATATAAAGAAACTCAAAAGTTCATCGTTCCCCCGCATGAATTTGTTCCTGTTTTCTCTCTCATTCGCTGCCGCGCGAAGCCACAATCGAGTCGTCACAGTTGAATTTCAATGCACCAACACCAATCGGTCGAAACACGGCTTCACATTTTTAATGATATATCAAAGACTGATTAACCTTTTTTAATTTTCGAAGACTTACTTTAAAGCTGAAATTCTAACGAAGATTTCTGTGTTTTTAGAAAAATTTTATCTAAATTTGTCTAGATTTTTGAAAAAGTTGAAGTCAAGAGACAAAAATGAGAAAATTTGATAATTTTTTTTATTTCTTTCTCACTCTACAACTCAAAAAATAATTAACGAAATGACTTCAAAGACGGCTTATTTTACGCAGAATTTAATCAGCTTTCTAACCGTATTTAAGTTTTTTTTATACCTCCTTTTATTTCCGAGATATGATTGAAAAAGTGATGGCATGTTTTTTTATAGAGTCAAATGTAATCGTCCTGATACTTTTGGACGGTAGTGTAAAATGGTAATTTTGGACAACGAATGTTTTAATAAAAAATGTTTATAAACAATACAACTTTTATATTACATAAAAGTAAATACTACTTTAAATAAGGGGCCGTACACACAATACGTCACGCGATTTTAGACCCCCCCCTCCCACCATGTAGTCCAACACTGTCCCATACATTATCGCCATTTTATTCTTGACCCCCCTCCCCCTGTTCGCGTGACGTATTATGTGTACGGCCCCTAACCTTAAACTAGGATTTTTTAAAAATATTGTTAACTTTCAAATAAACAGACTTCTCAAGTATTAAATCATTGGACAACGTGAGTGGTCATTGTCAACGTCAGTGTTGTTTCTTTGCCAATAGAGCATTAATATTGGGGTTATTGAGTTCTAAGTTTTGGAATTTATTTTCAAAACTTCAAAACATCACATTTTATGGGGCGGTTGTTGTTGCCTGCAATTTAACTACACAGAAAAAACTCGGACTCATTTTTGATGCAACTCAAAATGAGTCAATGTTAAATGACATAGAACGTGGCGCCATCTGCGAGGTTCATTTTTGTTGCAGCTCATAATGAGTAACTTTTACGACTCATTTTGAGTTCAGTTTTTCTCTGTGTGCCTACAGGGGAACTGCACATGCTAACCCTAGACAGTACAACATAGCTGGCTCATACGTAGAAGTACAACAAAAATTGTTTTGTTGCTGGAATGTTCATGTTTAACGGAAAATAACCTAATTATATGTTATTTTCTTCGTTTTTTATAAAGAAGAAGATAGCGTTTTTGGTTTTTTGACTGCATTAAAAATATGGCCAAAAAATTAGAAAAACCAAAACAAAATAATATAGCCTTCCAGGGCCAGAGCCGTAAATTGAATTTTCTTACATTTAAACTGCATACGAAAAAATTGTATACGAATTAAATTAATAATATTGTATTTACAAAATTATTTGCTATTTAACTACATACCGTTAAACTGCATACATTTCAACTGTATACAGACATATTTTCAACTCTCAATGCTGAGAATTTGGCTGTATACAGTTGAAATGTCTGCAGTTTGATACAGGTCACTAAATGGTAGGGAAAAAACAAAACATTATTTGTCGTTCCCGTATTGTCTTGGCCGAGCCAATGTTACTATCTTAAAGGAAAATTGTAATACCGTTTTTTTTAGTTTTCTTTTTAGACTTTCTTTCGAAGTAAATTGTTTAAACCAAGAGTTTTTCGAAGCAATACTAGTAATTAACATTCATTAACAATTTTAAATGTATTTTAGCGTATAATGATGAAGGGTTATTGGGTTATATTTTAATATGTGTATTTTACGCTATGTATTATATATATAGTTTAATATATAATATTTTATAATCTAATAATACCGTACATTATGACTTGGCGCGACTTCTTATCCCATATAGATGATTTACTAGAATATTTGCGAGATATTATTTTATTTCTCAAAACATCACTTTAGTATAATTTTAGCTCTAAAAAATAATTGTAAGACAGAATGCTTATAGGTAAATAATGTCTTATTAAGTAATGAATCATTAATCAAATTTTAAGTAAAAATACTTTTTAAACAACATAAGTCTTAATTGAAAGAATTTTTTAGAATAAGAATAATAATTAAACAAAAATATCTTTAAAACTAAAATAGATTTAAACGATATTTTATAGAAAAAGATTACAATTTGTAAAAAAATTTGTTAAGCAAATATTTAAAGTCTCAAATTCTTTGTTTAATAGAATATTTATGTGCCAATCTTTCAATTTTCAAAAAATCTTATTTATTGGAATATATATTTAAATAAACTTTTATTAATACAATGTATTATTTAGAAAAAATGATATATGAAAAAATGTATAATTTAATTAACTCTTGTATGACAAAAATTTTTCTTAGGCAAATGGTAATTTTATAGAATGTTAATTAAAAAGAATATTAATTTACAAGAAATGAAAGTGAAACGAATTCTAATTTAATAGAATACTTAAATGTCTGAATTATAATTTGGCAGAATGTCAATTCGATCGATTTTATATTTGTAAGAAATTCAATTTGACATAATATCAATTTATAAGAAACACTTTTTCGTAGAATTTTAATTTATCAGAATTGTAATTTTGTAGAATATTAATATTGCCAAATCTAATTTTAGTAGAAATCTGCTTTATCAGAATGATCAAATGTTCGAATCCCCAAAATTTCTAATTTCATTTCTACCTACAATCAATGTGACATAAATATTTGGCGCAAATTTAAAAATTGACCAATCAGAAATTAAATTTTTAAAATTTGCGCCAAATATTTATGTCACATTGATTTTGGGTAGAAATGAAATTAGAAATTTTGGGGATTCGAACATTTGATCATTCTGATAAAGCAGATTTCTACTAAAATTAGATTTGGCAATATTAATATTCTACAAAATTACAATTCTGATAAATTAAAATTCTACGAAAAAGTGTTTCTTATAAATTGATATTATGTCAAATTGAATTTCTTACAAATATAAAATCGATCGAATTGACATTCTGCCAAATTATAATTCAGACATTTAAGTATTCTATTAAATTAGAATTCGTTTCACTTTCATTTCTTGTAAATTAATATTCTTTTTAATTAACATTCTATAAAATTACCATTTGCCTAAGAAAAATTTTTGTCATACAAGAGTTAATTAAATTATACATTTTTTCATATATCATTTTTTCTAAATAATACATTGTATTAATAAAAGTTTATTTAAATATATATTCCAATAAATAAGATTTTTTGAAAATTGAAAGATTGGCACATAAATATTCTATTAAACAAAGAATTTGAGACTTTAAATATTTGCTTAACAAATTTTTTTACAAATTGTAATCTTTTTCTATAAAATATCGTTCAAATCTATTTTAGTTTTAAAGATATTTTTGTTTAATTATTATTCTTATTCTAAAAAATTCTTTCAATTAAGACTTATGTTGTTTAAAAAGTATTTTTACTTAAAATTTGATTAATGATTCATTACTTAATAAGACATTATTTACCTATAAGCATTCTGTCTTACAATTATTTTTTAGAGCTAAAATTATACTAAAGTGATGTTTTGAGAAATAAAATAATATCTCGCAAATATTCTAGTAAATCATCTATATGGGATAAGAAGTCGCGCCTATGACTTAGTTATAATTTTAGTTTTAATTAGAAGTTAAGTAAATTAGTAATTAGGAAAGGCTGAGTAATTTTATTTTTTTTTAAATTTTATTTTAAGAGAATTCCTTGAGATATAGGGAAACTTGCGAGACTATATAGGTTAGTTCCAGGGAAAAGGTGTAGATGGCATCGCTGCATACTTAAAATGAATGTTTTAATACGCA